TGTCATAAAGAAGCAGCCTTCATCACTGAACATACACACAGAGGTACTGGGATATTCATACACCAAAACTTACAACTACATTCTCAAAAATTAAATCAGCATTTATGGGCTTACTGCCAGCACGAATTATGACATTACTGATGACATCATTGTGTGTTGTGTCCTGTGAATTATTTAATGTGAGGAAACACTTTAGATTATATCGAAAGAATTTTGTTAAATAAAAAAGAAGAGAGGCTTTTTTCCCGTTGATCTTTTTGTTAATAGAGTGCCTGCCCAACATACCTTTTTTTCGTTAATGATAATAAATTGTAGGGACCTGTTGGTATCACCACGAAGCGACGCGTCATGGTAGTTTTGAAGCAACAAGAAGTTAATTTTTTATTGCATAGACGGTGTGCACTCTAAAAGAGATCAGTTCACATGGGCAACTGTGCAAGTTTACCTCACTTTGTGGTGCGATTAATGAACTTATACATGTATTTTTTATGTCATAAATAAGTAAATACAAATACAAGTATCTTTGAAATGGGCATCCATTGTGACTTCAGTATAAATGTGTTTGATAAGGGCCGCATGTTACGTCTGTAAACAAAAGTTAAAGACCACTGATAATCGAAAGATACCCCCTTTTCAATATTTGCCCTGTTTGCTTGAGTGCAAGAACTCCTACAGGCAAAGCGTTGACTTTGTGTCCTGCTACAGCAACAGTACCAAAATATTTTACTCCAGCTGCCATCACTTATTTGTTGAAATCTTCATTAGATACATTTAGGAAATCCTCATATTTTTTCAAATTAATTCAGAACTAATTTTTTGGGGGATAATTCTTCCAGTTAAATGGACCCCATTTGAATTGGATTTCATATAATGCAATAGCAACCCTTTCCCCCTCCACAACTGGTTGGTGCGTAGTACACCTGACCAAGTTTCAATTGAATGATCAACACCAACAATACCAGTTTGTGATCAGGACTCGTGCACTTTGCCATAGACGGTGACACTCATTTTTCCTTTTAATGAGGGCGTTCAGCTATTTCCATCACTTGTGTTTTGAGTCTTTATCGGAAAATTGGCTCCCAGAACTAAGAGACGGAAAAGAAAAGGCTGGTCATCTTGTGAACTTTAAATGTTTACTCTGTGGACACTTTCCCAGAAACGTTGATGTAAAATCACTGTGCACTTTTTCGAGAAATTGAATGATTTATAACGTCCTGTGGAACTTCTTGCTTAGCATGTGTGCAGGCGAGAGGAGGAAACTTGTTATTCCATCAAATCTTGGCTACAGAGACAGAGAATCCCGTCTAAAAATCCCTGGTATACACGAACTTGTCGGTGTAAGTGTAAAATGTTAAAACCTCTCACAAAATTATGCATGAGCACCGGTGTTTAATATTTCTGTTCTGGTACAAGCTTAGTAATTTGTATAAATGCATTAAAATCCTACTTTTCTCGTATACATTGAATGCCGGGGGCATGACCGGTCTAGGCAGTGGTTCTTCCCTTGTAAAAATACACCACCTCTAGATCCCACATCATCCACACGGATCGAGGAGCTTGTTCTGGATTACATATCGAAAGCCTTTCTCCTGGTGGGGAATGGCCTTAACCCTTGAGGTTCAGTATAGATGACACAGAATCCTGTTACCCTTGCGATGATTGGGGTTAAAGGTACAGAAGGCACAATGAATTGTCTTTATTAAACGGTAATACAGGACCGTGTGTTGGCCTTAGCATTTCCAATCAAGATCTTGTTGTGCCTCTGTTCATTCATGAACATATGGTCAGACACTTGCAGTTTTGAACGCTGTTTTGAATACACTGACGTTCTCAGTTGAAAACCTTTATTAGATATATCTTATTAGACTCTGCTTAGCTGCCATATTGAAGGTGTTTTGTTTTGGGTAGCACAGATATGCCAGGGTATGACTTTTGTTCACTCACTGTTAGTGAATTGAATAATCAATGAAAACATTATGATGGCTGGTGCACGGTAATGGGCCTATTAAAAAAGGGGTTTTCTCACTTCTGTCCTGAATGTACACACAATGTACACAGGTTTGTGAGTGTGATGTGCGACAACGAATTCCCTCTCTTCCTGCTTGCCATTTTTTGGTGCCTTTGAAACTCCTTTCGTGTGATTATTGAAGCAACAGTTTTCAATTTAAAAAGTGAGACTGGGTTGCCATCTGTAGACTGTCCCGTGTCTCACGTTATTCATTAGTACACAAACGTATTGTATTTTTGTTGTACAAAATCTAAAGGGTCAAATTAACATTACAATCTCAGAAAAGAATACATGTTTTTGTTCAAATCAGAAAGAAGTCAACCATTGTCGTTGAAACGTGGATTACTCTATTGTCAGCTATATATGTTAGTCCGAAAAAACCTACTTAGATTGTATACCAAGTACATGTTATTTTGGCGCTACGTGACCTTGTACATAAATTTCCATTTAATACGGTACAAATTACATCCTGCGAAATTTGACAAAAATCAAGCAACATGGTTGCCTTTGTCTCCATTACCAGTGCGCGGCCAGTGCTTGTTTTTCGTGCTGCATTGATCACTTCTACGCATGTTTGCATGAAAACTAATTTATCAGCGGAGGATATAATGTAAAAGCCTTTCACTACATTTCGCACATTTCGCCAAGGTCCGAACAGCTGCCTATTTTTTACTGTTTCTGCAGAGTTAGGAGCCCGCCACGATTAGACAATCCTACGAGATTTTACGAGAACGTGCGTGACTACGATAAAGCTTGCAGATTGCAGCTGGTATAAATCTATAGCTACAATTGTTGTAACCAAGCACGTTTCTGTAGCCACGAACTTCTTTGTTCATTGGGGGAAAAATTGCTTATAGGATTAAAGCCGAAATTTACAAACGTGAAAGTTGGTGTTAGTGGCAACTGATAACTCTGTCTGGGTTACCCAAATAAATCGTTTAGTCCTTTTTCAGATTGCTTTTCCAAGCCTTAACGCACATACACTTACAGCAGCAGTAGCACAGATAGAAGTTCAACCCCAAGAACAAGGCCAAGACGGCCGCAATAAAGAGATAGACATCGAGAAGATTCCGTTGGATGAAATTCAGGTCCAGTACAGCCGGGCGCAGATGATCTCCGCCGAACTTGGTGACGTGCAGGATCCAGTGAGCGACCGTCTTGCCTGGGGGAGACATGACCTGCATGTCCCGCATGATCATGGATATACGCCGTGCGTTGTCACGGAACCTGTTCGTCGTAAAGGTTGACACCAAAGAGACAATTTAATTTGTTGAAAACCATTCTGGATCTGGGGGTAATACCAACCCCCCCCTAAAAAGTAATTAATTAAAAAAATAATAAATAAAAAAGAAAAAGTAATCATTTTCGCCGATAGTGAAAGGTGCTATTTTGATATTACATGTATTTCATTTTCTTTCATAGCCTGTAATCCTCTGAATGTAGACTCATCACCTCTCGGAGATGCCATTTAAGATTGCATTAAAAAACTTTCCCTCCACTGAAAACAACTGTTTTCCTTCAGATTTTGTAGTGGCCAGTGTAACCTACTTTGCAGCAATTTTCAAAAGATTTCATAATGTTTCAAGGGTAGGCCTAGTCTTCAGCAGCGGCATATTCAGCTTTTGGTGTCTGGGGCAAGTTCAAATGCGAATGCGGCTTCAGGCTCATGCAACATGATACTAGGGGAGAAAGAAATGGTGTTGTTTTCTTAGAGTTTTGGTGCCAATATTTGAAAATAAATATACTGATTAATTTTTTCCTACTCATCTTTGAAGTAGTATTTGTAAAAAATAGAAGAAAAAAGAAGTTTCCCCCTGCCACTCCCTCTCTGTACATGCCAATGATTAATGAAAATAAAAACAATCCACTGCTGTGTCAGAGTTCGTACACCTTTCCCTAATAACTATAATATCTATTTTACAGCATTGAATACTCTTTTAATATAATTATGAAAATACTGCATAATAAACAGCACAAACGCCTTAATTTTCAGTACCGAAATTTACTTGTTTTTCCAGGACGATTTGGGACTTCTTGGCCCCTTGGTTGTAATTTTTTTATAAAGGTCAATCTTACCTTGGTTCAGAGATGACTTTCTGGATAGTTTGACTCAACGACTCTGGTGTTAAGGTGGTGATATCAAGCGCTAATCCCACCCCACGGTCCTCTAGCCGATCGAAGTTACCCATCTGGTCTCCGAATAGCGGTAGGCCCACCATTGGTAGTCCAACCCACATCGCCTCGTACATACCAAAACTACCGCCGTTACTCGCGAACACTTTAACGTTGGCATGCTCTGAGTGGATGAAAAAATGACTCAATGAGGTAGCGACACATGAATACAGTCTATTTTGACAGTGGCGGATGCATTTTTGAAAGTTTTAAGCACGGTTTAATAAAAAAGAAAGAAAGGCGACTACCACCCACCCATTATCTGGGATAATGGCAGCCATCCAACAACCTTGGTGTTGTCTGCCAGCTTGACTCCGGTGGGTAATGCTGCCGTGCTCTGCCAGAGGACCCGTCAGCAATGACTTGGGCCTTTTGGAGCTCTATGTGTGGAGTTTGAGTGCCCAGTGAAAACAAAACCACTCCATTGGGAGCCGTGTCCAGAAATCTTGCCACATCGTCTTCAACCTGACGCACAGGGAGAGGTATAAACCTCTGTAAACTGTAAACGTTTCATTGAATGTTACGCATACAATAATGAAAGGCCGGTTCACACTGCAGGCGAATATGACATCGAAGCAAATTTGACGTATGCAGCAAACTTTCGCTGAAGTTGAAATGTGTTCAACTTTTGCGAATTAGCAGTGCGAATAATCGGTCTGCCCTCACAAATTTGCGTTTGCGTTCGCTTTTGCGCCAAGTATGAACTGGCCTTAATGGTTTCGATTCTGCATGAAATCCTCAACACTATCATGATTGCTTTCAGGCAGTGGTCACTTAACCATACCCTTAATAGTGTATATCTTATTTGGTATTCAGGACGTTGAGAAAGTTTTCATGAAGGTAACCAGTTGTTTATTCAGTCTATTAGCCTATTTGAGGTATGGCGGACACAGTAGGAGGGCACTTTGGTTTAGGTAAAATATTTGTATCATATGTTCACTTCAAATGAGCCAGTTCGGCATTCCAACAGCGCCTGCCCTGTGCAGGGCTATTCAGGAACAGCTACGCGCGCGCGCAATTGTCTGGCCAATCAGCGCAGCCATACACTGACACCTGCGTGCAGTTTGTTCCCAAAAGACCTTGGTGTTTTAATTACCGAACTGGTTCATTTAAATTTACCAAAGACATATAAACGCATAGACCTACAGATCCTATAAAAAAATACAGGAGAATTCCCTGATCTGCGCGAAGACCAAAAACAAAATTATGGGAAATTCACTCCTCGGTATAGGGACTTTACGCACAGTTGAAGAATTCCAGCCAAAATTCATGAAGCCATTTCCCACTTGGAATAAATCCTCTATTTACTTAATCTTTCCTATGTAGATTCAACATTGCATTTGCAACATTTGAAAAGAAGAGACAGCAGTACCGAAGAGCAAAATAGTGGACGTATTATGAGAGCACACGTAAACAAATACAGGCAGTGTAACTATACTTCAAAATCACAGTTACACGCGCGAGACTGGTCATCTCCTACTCTGTCTGCCATATTTCAAATTTCAGATTTTGTGGCTCGAGTACATGTAGCAGGCAGCGGCAGAATTAAATTGTGTAGGCCCTACAATTGTGTACAAAACCAGTATCGGCAATGATCACTGATGATTACAACGGATATCAATGGGCATAACTAACACTCTTTTATACGGTGGCTCGTATTCGCCAATTCATTGCGCATGGCCCTTTTCCTTAGGCGTTGTATCGCTGTACTGTGGTGTTATAATGCCGTACTATTGCGTTATATCGCCGTATTTAATAAGGTGTTATAACGCCGTACTATTGCGTTATATCACCATACTAATGCGTTATATCGCCATACCACGAAACTTGCAATTAAAGCGAACAACAAAAGCAGTTTATCTAGACGAGAAGGCTACGAACGCCATGCCAGACTACCACTCCTACCTTTAGGTAAGTTAAACCATGTCTTTGGTAACTGAAGCATGCCTTTATCAAAATATGTAATAGGCCCCCTACATTTTTTGGTAGAAATTTTCGATTACTTGGTGTAGTACGAAACGTTTTGTGTTAATATTAATACACATCAACCATCGCTTCCATCCTGCAGGGCCCCGCGTTAAAGGTGCACTTCCTGAAAACCCCCTAAATGTCATGTTTTGGTTTGTCTACACATCCTTCATTTAGTCGAAAAGAAACTGTTCTCGAGAAAATGATGCAGTGATATCTATACTTGAATTTCCAGCCGTCATGTAATTTTGCATTTCGTGTAATTAGTCTGGTGAAACTTGTCTTTTTCAAAGTCATTCCCCACTCATTAGCCTCTTTGGTGGCTCTATCGTTTGTTTTCATACTTAAGCAACAGTCCATGGATACAGTCTTGGACTGTATCGTCGGAAGAATTAACCTGAGTTTGCGGATATTGTAAGGTTCTTTCAAGAACAGCTTCAGCGATCTGATCAGCTGCACGGCTTCAGGTTTATGCATCACAGATTACTAAAGGAGGGTTTTGTTGTTGGCAGACATAAAGTGCGGAGATTGTTACTCCATCTTGATCCAGAGGGTGTTGTGCCACGCAGAAGGCGCCGGCTTGTGCGTCGCAGATCTTGTGGGTGAGGACCGAATTTATTTGGCACATACTCATAACTATGACAAACTCAAGCCATACGGAGTGGGCATCAGTAGGTATATTCATGGTTTCTTCCCAAAATAATATGGTTGGAAGCAAACGCCACTACGAATGCCCCTGAATTTAAAGGTAGCTTTTTTGCCAGCGAAACATATGGTGGCTGCCCAAATGTCGTTAGCACTGATCTTGGAACGGAGAATGGACATGTACATGTATTTAATTTCCAAAGATTCCTAAGGGTCCATGTGGATCGACTTAGCGGTAGGCATAGCTTCATTACTGGGAAAAGTACGCATCGAGTGCTGGTGGAATCAGCTCAGGAAAGAATGCACAGAGTTCTGGATGACTTTATTTTGGATGCATAAAGGATGACAGTTACTTCTCGGTAGACAGTCTGGACAAAGAGCTGATTCGATTCACATCCATGAGAATGATACAGGTACGTATAAACGACTATCTTCGTTTGAGGTTATCATGTAATACATATACATATTATGATCCGCATTATAGGATGGTTTGCTAAAATGACAATTATTGGTAAATCCACGTTTTCGATATAAATGTCAATCCAAGTCATTTCTCTCAGGAATATTAAGAGTTCAACAACTTTTCTTCTGCTCGATAGATTCAAATGATTGATTTAATCAAGCTTACTTCTGCTTCGACAAAATGGCGGAGCTGTGGGATGGACACAGGATTAGGTGTTCTTGCCGAAGATTTATGAAACACAATATTGAAAATTGACGTCCGCCATTTTACTTACACAGTGAATGTTTTTCGTTTGTCTTCAATAATACACAAAATCCAGAATGAAACTTTTGCATGTTAAAATGATGACAGGCTAGAATGGTTTACCATACGGAAATCTAGAAATCATCAAAACAAACTTTAGTTATACAGAAACTTAAGTTACAAAATCGACATCAAAAATGGACCGCTGATAATATAGGCTATAATTATTCATTTGTAAACGCACAGAAACCGAGTAATGATCTCAACAAACACTGATTTTATAGAAACTTTCAAGTTACAACATGGAAATAAAACCTACCACTGATAATAGGCTAGAGTGAATCATTTGTGTAATCATCTCAATAAACATTGGTTTATAGAAACAGTTAAACTTACCAAATCAGAACGTCATTCATGACGTCATTCACTTCCGTGCGTTGGAAGTGATTAGACTTTCAGATTTAGGGGAGTAACGCTTTCCATCTTTGAGACTCAAATTTAATTACATTTGGAATATCTGTCAAGTGTCATGGAGATTTGTTTTTTGACGAGCTGAATGGATTCGCAATCATTTTTCAAAATTTACAGTTTAACCGCAAACATGCGCCCTTCTTGATTTCAGGTGGAATCAGCAATTTGTTTGACAATCGGACAGCAACATCCATCACCTCTTTACAAGTATCCACTGTAAACTGTACAAGAAGTAGAACCGTTGTTTGGATGTTGCAATGATAGGTGGGAAACTCAGCAGATGTTGGAATAAAACTATACGTGTTAAAAACTTTATCGCTTCTCTTTTTTATTTGTGACCATACTCTATCCATCAGAGATTAAAACTGATGATGTTTGTTTTACTGAACAATAAAAATGCAACTTGTAATAACACTGTAACTTGTCAGCATATATGTGGATGCAACGGGTCAAATAAACATCCTAGGCTAAATCTAAACGATGTCCATGACCCACACATTCGATTCTAGGACTGTGTTGAATTCATTGCGAAGGTCCATGAGGGGGTCCATGAATTTTTTGAAGTTATAGGCCAGTTTGAGCATGCAACCGCACCTGTGTGGAATGGGACGTCTTGTGAAATAACTTTGGACAACAAACCTCACTGATATATTCTTTTCCTGCAGCAGCAGATCGGAACCTGCAAAAGAACAGTGAAACTCGATGTCATTATTACTGCATGTTCATGCATTTTACATAATAAGAGGCCTAAACTTATTGGTTAATTTATGAAATGGTCCGCAAAAGAGAAAAAAGAGAGAGACACAGGGGGTAGGTGGGGAGAGAGACTTGGGGTTTGGACTCATGTTTGGGGTTAGTTGGGGTTCTTGGGATTGGGTCAACCTTCAACCCCCCCCCAAAAAATGATTGGGCCTGACCCCCTCCTATAAAATTCCTGGATCCGCCCTGGATCGACTTCAGATTTAGTACATGTACACACATAGACCAACACCCCCGACGAACGACTTATACAAGAGTAAATCAGACTCCACATCACTTGCACGTATGCTTACCCTTTCTCAATCTAGGTTTTGGCCTCCACGTTGCACTCGTCACGGATTTTGTCGACTTGAATCTGGTTAAACTGCAGCGATGGTGTATCAAATGCTGATCAACATTAGAAAATGGCGACGATAGCCTCGCTGTTGATTTTCAGCAACACAATAGTACGGCGTTATAACGCTGAAGTACGGCTACACAACGCTATAATACGGCTATATAACGCTGTAGTGCAGCGATTTAACGCAGAGAGGGAGAGGGTCATGCGCAACGAATTGGCAAAAACGAGCCACCGTACTTTTATATATAGCTCTATATTAGTTATCACACAAGCGCTTATGGAACACTTGTTGACCACTTTGGTGTGGGATTTGACGTCTTGAACACTCGAGGGCACGCATATTGCCCCGAGGCTTCGCCTCGGGGCGCTATGCGTGCCCTCGGGTGTTCAAGACGTCATACCCCACACCACAGCGTCAACAATTGTTTTGGTGGAATGCACCCTTATACGCTGCGGGGACGGGAACGAGTCTGTTATACGAGCGTCATCGATTGAATTCCCTGGTGGCCTATGCACAAAACATATCATGAGCACCACGCAAAACTGACTAAAGGACAGCAAATGTTCTCGAACTTCCCAAAGCTCTTCTATTTCGCGCGCGTACGTGTGTACGTGCACGCACTATCGGTAAAGTGAAATGTCTCACGGTGAGTGTGATATATACCGATATGTCGCCCTGTCATGCGATCGTTCTGGGCCAATAAACGGACAGTATCCAAGACAGAGGTATAACAAAGAATAACATAGTGTGTCTGTGTCCCAGGCCGAATGTTGAATTGTAAACAGGACCACTGATCTCCCTTATGAAGACGGAGATCAATGTAAGGGACACAGGCACACTATGCTATTCTGTGCTCCGCGAGCGTGATAACAAATTTATCGTCAAGCAAATTTGACGCACATTAAAGATGTTATAAGGGACCCTGCGTGCAAACACGCTACTTTGGAATTTAAAGTAAATTTTGCAGTTGTGCAGTTTGCTTAAAAATAGCGCAATGCATTGAGTTAGAACAGCGCATTATGCGGCGTTTGATATTTACCGTGCATATCATTGGATCAACCGATCAGAACTGAGAAATCAGGTTTGCCTGAAGATAACGGGTTATGTACATCTCTCCCATTAGACACTGTCTTTGTAGCAAATTGGCAAATGCGTATATTACTCTAAAGTGTATGGGTGCGGTTGGTGTGCAAAATGCCCTAAAATAGCGTCTGAGTTGATCCAAACATCTTCGAAATACGGCACAGCACAATGCGAGTCACGGATATTGAAGTAAAACATTTTGACGCACGTGGCAATCTGTAGGAAGTGACGTCATTTGAAAGGGACCCATAGATGCGTTCGCACGGTTACTCCTTGTAAGACGAGTAGGACGCGTGCGCATTACACTTGGGTGCAGGAGTTTACTCCCCTTTTAGCGAGATTATACTCTTGCTGACCCACAGGTCGTACTCCAGCCGTTCAAGCGCTCAGGAGTATACTCGTGTAAACAAGCGAGTAGCTCGCTTGAACGCACCCCTTGGGTGACAAGGAGTAACTGCGCGAACACACCCATACAGTACCAATGTTTGACGTGATTTTGAACCAGAAAGTGTAGTGCAAACGAAAGGAATGGAGAACGTGCGCGTGTTGGTTCACACACTGGTTCTCGAGCTTGTATCCGGTTCGTAAGTGTGACGTCACTGCAGTTTAAACCACGCCCACTGCACATGCACAGCACATACAGTTACATGTATAGATGCTCAAAGTAATGATTAATTATTCAACCCTCTTCTAGGACACCCCTTAGTAACCTTTTTACAGCATGTACTGAGAAAAAAAATGTGCCTCCCTGACCCACGCCACTGATCGAAGTCCATTTTGAAATGTAGGCCTACACAGCCTATAAAAAAAGTCAAAATTCATTTTGCGTCATTGCTGTCCTGGGAATTACACTTCATCTACACCACTGTATTTTTTTCAGTACTTCAAAACGATGTAACGAGGAATTTAGGCTTGAACTCCTTTCACCAGTTTCTGCATTACAGGCCTACCGTTGTATGAGGGGTCGAACCGACTTTATAGAGGACGTAAACTGTGTTCGGTTGCATGGGTCTGGGAAATTCCAAGGCAAAGCTCCCGTGGAACAAGTAGAGTGAGGCTTGCTTGTTGGATTCGTAAGTGCTGATCTCCGGCCGGATGTTGTGCTTAACTTTGAGCTGATCGAAGGTTTTGAAGTTGAACGCTAGGAACCACAAGAGTTTGTAGTACTCGTGGGCCAGGACATTCTGGACCCGTTGGAGAAACGTCAACCTGTCTGTGAAACCAACCACAGCCTCGGAGATGTAGGAAGGTTCAATCGGTAACCCTGCCCTGTACAAAGAATGCAAAAATACGTTTGATTTCAGGTGTGTTCATAGAGATTCCACGACTATTTTTTCACACGTACATGCGCACTGTGATCCATTAGCAGACGATCTTGTTAGCAGACAAGGCTTGTCGCCAGAATACTGGAAACACATGGCACCAAAGAGCAAAGTGAGCAATGAAAAGAGCAAATTTAACAATAAAAGAGCAAAATTTCATTTGTTTCTTGACATTTAAAGATTAGGGTCGTCCTCGAAGGGTCGGCATGGAGGTTATTTCTGCAGTCAAGCCCTACGCTTGTCACCAGTGTGACAAATGCTTTCGACGGAAGTCTAATCTAGAGAGGCACATGGAAAATATTCACGCTGAAGCGGAATTAGACATGAGTGAAGTTAGGGATGATTCGGAACTAGGACATTGTGGATAATCTCGAAGAAAAACTTGAAAGTGCAGATGTCTGCACTAGTAAGCAGGGATTTGTGGGTTCGAGTCCCACCCGAGTAAGCTTGTGACTTTTTTCGCAAGCTCTCCGACAAGCACTAAGCATATAGTGTTTATTAATATATACGTTGGGTAAGGGCAAAACCCGTTATATAAATGTTGTGTTCTTACTGACAGTATGACTATCGAGTAATATGTCTCGGGTCGGATACCAGCCGGCAACTTCGGCACATTATTCCATAGCACAGAGGGTAAAATTACCCCTTTGCTACGAGATAAAAATCCGAACTGACGTCGTGCCTCCCAAGAGAATTCTAATTGTTACCTAATGGTGTATATTACATTAACTCCACAATAAAGATCAATAGTAACGCTGGTAGTAGGCCCAGTAGTAGACTATCTTGACTCCGGCTAACCATGATTACACTTACAAGACTACGAATAAGATACAGGTTAACATCCAAGTTCCAAATTGAATTAAGATTTAAAATGGGATCCTGTACGTACAACCACTGGTAAAAACGTAATATCAAACTGGGATAAAAATAGGCTTAACAGTTAAATATTTATTGGCATACAATTTGACAAGACAAATTGTCAACAAACGTAACAATTCAAGTACCTACAAATCAGACAAAAATCATTCAAGTCCTTCAATTAAAAAAAATTGTTCCGTCACTAGTCACATCACAGTCACGACGGTGGACATCTAAAAATTCTTATAAAATGGAACAGACTTACAAATTGATGAAAAGATAAGAAGCTCGACTAAAACATCAAAACATCAAAGAAAATCACGTTAACAGTGTTTCCAAAAACACACGTCTGATAGTTGAGCAGGCCTGTTCCAAGATGGTTGTGAAACTTCCTGCGGTATCATGCAATACAACACAGTCAATGGATTTGCATTGCAGTTCAGTAGGTATATTCCACGATCCACCCGAGCACCGTTGGCTGACAACCATGCCGAATCAATGCAGGTGTTTCGAGTCCAATAAGCAGCCCCAAAGATCACCAAAGCAGCAAACTTGCTCACAAATGCACTACTAAAGCTCAAAATCCACCGTTCAAAATCAACACATAGACAAAAGCAAATAAAAAACCTAAAATGACGAGAATGAATGAAAAACATGTCCTGCCCAACGGGTGCGCAGAACGCGTGCGGACAAGAAATTACTGGCAAAATCACCGTCTTTTACTGACAACTGGTTCCAGTAAGACCAATAAGTCGTATTTGCCGGGGACCTGTTAATTACTCCACCCCAAGGAGGGAGCTCTTTTCTCTTAATACTCTTGGCAATCAACAGCCACTTCAACGAATCTTCCGCTATTTGAGCGTTTCTAAGTTCTTCGCTGCTTAGGGTTGGCTCCACCATGGGAACTCGAGCACTCTTCCATCTCCAGGGTTCGAGGTTAGTTTTTGTTCCCCTTTCTCCCTAACAACAACAACATCAACAATAGGATTGTCATCATCGGAATTATCTTGTGCATGACAGTGATCGCACTGTTTAAAAGGTAGTCTAGGCAGACTGTAGGCATTCTTATGCTTGTGTGGCGTTTTATTCTCCTAGGTCTCTTCAGTCTGGGCGAACTTTTTCCAACTGGATACCCTGCACGATATGCCGTAAAGGGGACCCCCAATGTGATGCACAAGCTGTATACCTTAAGGCTATTGTGCCGACTTCACCCCCTCGGGAATCTGAAAGGAATTCCAAAGATTCCATGAACACAAAAGAAGACAAAATACAGGGGCCCCCTTTACTGCATATCATGGATATATGGGGAAAGGCACCTGACCTAAACCTAAACTTTCTGCCTTGGCCCTTGAGCTTGACGAGCAATCTAAGGTCCAGGGGTTAAGGGTCGTTTTGCCGGAAGTATACCACCGATTGGTAATTGGCTTGGTGACCCGGTCGACTGACACAATTAACAGTGAGATCCTTAAGGGAAATCAGGTCCCTTCTCCTAGCAGTCGTTTAGTCGATGACCGTTGAAGCTAGCAGATGAATTGAGGACATTACGAACTGGAGCACTCTTCTTTTGGGGACGAATGACTGGGTGGTGGGAAATGTAGTGCACTGGACCATCAAAATTTTGTATCTCTTGCGGTCGCTCGACTTTCTTGAAAATCCTTTTTGTTCCATTTTCTTAATTTGCTCATCATAGAGTTGAGCGTATTTTCCTTCCTTTTGAAGCCTCTTTTCTATCGAGAGTAATTTGGGCACAGCTTGTTTTCTGGTTGTCTGGTAGCTCTTTCGGATCTTTCTTCCGCGGGCAGGGAACCACCCATCTAATGTCTACTTTCTTACATGAGTTTTTCACATTTTTCCGAACTGACGTTGTTCACTTGGTGCCAGGTGTTGATGCAGTGCTGTAAGGTTTGCAGCAGCATTTTCTTGGTATCCTGACCCCCATACTTTCCGTTGACCAAAACTCGCTGAGAACTGTCTTGCTAGTCACCTTTGAGTGCAGCACAGTGAATGTTCTTGCACTTAGCTCGTTAGGTGATCCAAGAATCTTACCCACCCAATTTTGGATAGAGGCGGGCGGTTACATTCAGAAATGAACGCTTAGTTTTATTGCTATTTTGAGGGTATCTTCGTTCAAAGGCGGATAAAAAAAATTTCGTGGCCAACCCCCATGAAATTGAAACGAAAAGTGATCTTCTGGCCATAATCTTGAATTTTCAGTGAAAAAACGGAGGCCAACCTCTTCACGAGAGTCAACAGGCCCGACTAAAGTCAAACCCCCTTGCAAAAAGGCCAGAAATATGTCCGCCGAGCTCATTAATAAAAGTTATAGACTCAAAATATTCTATATTAGAGGGTCCTGAGAGCCATGGAACTGGGGAATTGAAGAAATATGGCACTGAACCTCTGGGCCGGACTCAGGGCTTCCAATTCTGTGCAATTTGAATGCAATCGGGTCCGAAAGTGGCACTATTTGAGCCATTTTGCAGAGGGATGCATTTTCAAAATGGCTACTTTCCCGGGCAGTGAAATTTCCTTCGTTTTAGGGGTGGTCTGCTTTGGGTGAGAATTTCGCAAAAATTCATTGGTCAACCCACTAAAAATTGAAAGAAAAATGACAGAAGACATGTGGAACATCATTTTTCTGTGCAGCCTGAACACCTGTGAGAGTTGTGAGTATTTTATTATTTCTTATATTTGTGAAGTATGAGGATTTATCACTGCTGTCTATGGGGATTTATTTGTAGTGGTGCACCCATAGCGCCCCGCAGCGCGCAAGATGGGGAACTGACCATCTCGCATGTGTTCTTTATTTCACGGAGACCACGATCCGTCATTTTGGTGTGCAAATGGCGAGCTGTATGTACACGTGACATATGGGGGGGGGGGGGGGGGGGGAGGCTCTATCCACGAAAAAGGGGGCAGTAAGGTAAATATTTACCCTCAAGTAAGATTGAAACTTATATTTATCGTAAATAGAAATGTGTAACATCATAACGTAAAACCGTTGGAGATGAAATCGGAGAATTTTGGTGTGTTCTGTGTGGTTAATACACTCTCTGGGTTGCGGCCGTCGGATCGTGCAGCAATGTTAAATACAACAAGTTGTAGCTTAGGCCCTACATACATGTTTCTCGTACGTAGGCCGCCTGAGAGCAGATATCCCACGGCACGTTTCATTACATCTTAAGTCACTCACTCCCCGAACTGTTGACTAAATTACCCTCAAAAAGTGGAGTTCTTATACTTCTTGACACCTCTGAACCATAATGATGTCTTGAATATCTTAAGGTTAAAGTTTCTGGGAAGAGATAAAACTTTAATTTAAAAGAACAGCTAATATAATGTCAAATGAAGATGGTCCATTACCCTTTTTTTTTTACAACAACACCTGATCTTTTGGCTTGTGTACATCTTTCCTTTTTTTCGAACGTAGGACCATTTTACATGTCCAGCGGCCCCCTCTGAATTATTAAACATGTATCTAAAAAGGTAGTTATGTAAGTTTGATCTTGTAGTTTTAGTTAAGGAAATGAGGCTGATCAAACATGCAAAAGACCTTTCCTTCATCAAGCAAGAAGTATGCTTTTCTTGAACCTGCTTTTGCTGTTGATGCATAGACCTGGAGGAGAAAAAAATGGTTATGGCTGCACACGTCGACGACATTGTGCTTCGCGATCCATGCGTACACGGAGCGCCGCCAAAGAGAACTTACAGTGTGCATGTACATTTTTTGTTCTTGTCGCGCATTATACTTCGGTCCAATAGGGCCTACCACACCAAAATGGGGCCCATGGCGATTACGCGTTTTAGTGGAGAGTTGCCCATCTTGCGCCGTTGCGCGCGGTGCTATATAATCTTTGGTCAAAACTATGGGCAAATTCACCTCTCGGTATAGGGAATGTACGCACAGTTGAAGAATTGCGGTTTCCAGCCATAAAATTCTCTGAAGCCATTTTTCGATTGTAAAATGAACTCTTACTTAATCTGGCCCATGGGGATTCAAACATTGGGATTGCCACATTTGAAAAAGAAGAGATACATTGTGTAGCTCTCATCCACCGTTTCGCCCATTGTTTGTCCATACAGGCCATTTTCAAAATCACGGTTATACGTGCAAGACTTGTGGTCTATGCGTTCATATGTCTGTGCTCTGATTCTGAGCGCTCGATCGGCTGAAGTACGACCCGCGGGTCAGCGAGAGTACTCTCGTGGGGGGGGGGGCACCCCTGCATCCCACTCATTTTAAGGCGCCTTTCCATATGCAGGTTTTTATGGTGTGTTGCGTACACGATAAATATGCATTTCACTTTCACAGACACAAAACTCGACTCCATTAAAACACACGTGTGCGTTGCGCTTGGCAGTCACAATCGCCCGGGAGCGATATGCAACGCAACGCTTGGCGCAAATTATGATGTGCATTTAATATGGAAAGGCGCCTTTAACAGGAGTTTTCCGCTCGAACGCAGGCAGGTTTGTCTTAATTATCAGGGAATGAAGCGTCCCGACACATACGGCCCAAAATTGAGGTCATCTGGCCTCTCGAACTGTGTTGTTGTACCGCAAAAATTGTGATGCTTATTGTTAAGCAGGCTTTCATCGCTGGATGAGTCGATCCTGCAATCTACTTGATTTGAAATTTTCCATCAGCTACGAATGTTGGGTCTCGTTTTCGGTAAGATGAATACTTATTGATCTTTTAATTTGTGTCTTCTTCTTGATTGTCTCTTAAAGTGACTCCTTTCCATGTGAAATGCAGAGTAGGAAGACTTACCACACACCATTTTTCGAGGGAATCGGGCTAATAGCGGAGCAGTAGACGAAGGGAATGTCCAGAGCTTGTGCCAAGAGCGGAACGCAGGGGACGGTGTCATCGGCAACCATCATGTCGAATCTCTCCTGTCGGAGCCGCCTCATGGTTGCATTGTCTCCTAACAGGTCGTCGCACTCGCGCAGCCACATAGCCCCTAAATTCAACTCGCCGTCTAAGTTCCCCTTCATAAAGCTCTCCAAATGACAAAAGAAACCTCGCATGGCTCCCGTGGCGATCACTTTTCCGATTTTTTCCATGACGGCAGCTCGTTTCTCAGGTGTGTAGGACGAGTTGAACACCACGACGGAGAAGTCGGGGTCGGCCGTCTGCAACCGTCGACTGTTGGAGCTACTGACTAGCGAAATTACCTTGTGGCCTTGCTTGACCAGTTCCTTGCCCGAAATGGAGAAGGATGAATAATGGCTGCCTTCCACAGTGGAGATAAAGTAAAGAAATTTGTACCTCTTAGAATCTAGAGGATCCTCTTTTCCACAGATTCTGCGGATTGATGTTGCCAGAAACCAAGAAGTAATCAGTAGAAGGACAAAACGTTTTGAAGACATCGTGTTCTCCTCGTGTAAACTGAGAAAACAAAGTAAAGAGTGTTGCTAAGGATGAAGTTGTATTGATGATGAATAGGAATTTCGAGCCATCAGCGGCAGAAGGCAGCTGAAGGCCCTTCCAAGTTCAGGCATTAATGAGATGTGAGAGAGATTAAACTACGCAACAGTCCAAAATTGGAGTGCACAGAACAACATAACCTTATTCCGTATGATTACTTGACACATATACAGACCTTGATGGATTATAACGCCTCAATATAGACCATTGCCCATTATACTAAAAAGTCAAACAACAACGACGACGACAACGACGACAACTACAGCGATGACAATAACAAAAACAAACAACAGAAGCAGCAGCAACAACAACAAGCACTACCAGCAGCAGAACCACCACCACAACAAACAAGCAAACAAACACCCCAACAAACACCCCAACAAACAAACAAACAAACAAACAAACAAACAAACAAACAAACAAACAAACAAACAAACAAACAAACAAACAAACAAACAAACACCCCAACAAACAAACAAACAACAATAACAACAACTGCTGGATTCAGTATATAACATTCTGGATTCAACTCGTCAGTTCATTCTCCGCAGTTCCTTAACTGCCGCCGATGAAAAATGTCAAAATCATCGTAACAGATCGAAATCATGGCACATTTATGACATTACCTACTAGGCTCAACTTTCAAAGGCTTGCAGTTTTAGTGTTTGCCTGTATCTAGGATCTTGTATTCACCAGATTGCAGACACAAGATTACCTACTGATGATGTCGGTATACGTACAGTACGAGTATCTCGACCTAAGAACTGAAGGAAGCCGAAAAATACCAACAAGAGCCAGCGTTCCTCTATAAATGTCAGTCACCTGATGTCACTGTGCTATATGACTCAATTGGGCTGTCTTCATAACCCATTTAGCAAGTTCACGTTCAAATTCCCGTTTCTGTTTAGCTCCATGGGACATGATCAGTACAAACTTCACACTTTATGCTTAAGTTCACATGCACATGTACATGCAAATGAAAGGTTAGAGAATAACTCAAAGTTCAGTTTGTCACAAAGTGAGATTAACATGTTGTAGAGAAATAACATACGTTTTCACGCATAGCCAAACATGTTCTCAATTAAATAAATTGTGCGTTTAAAGAGACAAATTGTTGATTTTATTTGGCTAGTGCGCCAGTGTTTTTTCCATGCACCATTTTTATTTAAACTAGATAGTTTCGCGGGAAGAATATACAAACGCCATTGGATAAAGTTTGAATCATCCTTGAGTAAATTCTTTCTTGTAAGGTCACCAGGGATACCGAACAAAAGAACTGGGGGCGTCACAGATAAAATTTTTGGCGGGTGTAGAAAGTTTTAGGTGTAGAGGGCACTTGGTGTTCGAAGGTGCTTACTACCAGCGATATTGAGATTTGTGAGAATCCACCCAGCTGAGCTGACCGGAAACTAATATCAACGCAAGTGGAAGAATACACAAGTGGATGTCAGACGCAAGATTCCCAAGAATCAGGTTTCTACACAACCTGTAAGTTTATTTGGAAAACTGAGTATAGATTTGCTGTTCTTTGCATTTAGATTAAGTGAATATTTGATTGACGAAAATGCTTTAGAGAACCTGAATTTATGGCTATATTCATTAATTGACGGTTTACAGATTATTTCTGGCTAAAAATGGAGCAGCCTCTATTTTTGTAAAATAAGTGCAATTTAAGATGCGAAAATTGATGGAATAAGTATTTGGAGAAGAAAATTTGCGTTTTGTTTTTACGTAGACATCAGATTATATACAAGTAAAGCAATGTTAAAAGAATGAAGAAAATTCTTTTCTCAATTGTTCTATAGTTGTTTTTGTGTTGGTTTTATGTGTTGAACTTGTTGGCACTTTTGAATCAGCAAGAAGTTAGTGGTGCAATTCGTCGGTATAGCACCACCGTAACTTTATCCCTGTACAGTGTCTTTCGCAAACAGTTCACAGTGTTAACTGTACAAGGATAAAGTCCATTATTTTGTGGTGCTACCAACGCGTTACACCACTGAACAAGTTTTGTACAACTTTAGTACCTATGAAATTGCCCCAATACCAATGTCTCCGATAAAGGCCACCCACTTCGATTGTAATCACAAAACAACCCTTGTTCTGCACTTCACCTTGCCAGTGCTACTTTTGACTCCCAGGGACACTTAATGGAATGTCATGGGCTTCTTGAATTAACAACAACCTTAAAGCTATAGAGCACAAATAAAACTTTGACAAAAGCAAAGGTGGAGAAAACTCTCTCCTCGTGCTATAGCTTCTACTCTAGGGCTGAGTTCGGGCGGCTTGTACTCGTATGTTCACGAACAGCTCGATTTGTTGTTCGCGGGTCTGCCGCTCGAACGCCGGGAACAAACAACCGGTTACCGATGGTAGTTAGTAACATGCAACATGGCGGCGTCCATGTAGGCTACGTTATTCGAGAGTTAATGTTTGGATGGGCTGAATTATATTCTATATAAACAGGAACATTCATTTCTGTGTTACGGAAAATAATTAATGTTAATTTTGCAAAACTTCCCACTGTCTATGGCTTTGGTAGCCGTAGCAATCTCTCTACTTTTTGCAGCTGTTCAAAAATCAAAATCTCTCGAGTTTTTCCATGTGTACCTGTGAAACCCTGACGAGGAGGTGGTGTGTGATCCTGTTCAGAGAACAGTGTTCTTGAGTCGTCTTCCCGCCGTTCGAGCGCGAGAACAAGAAACCCGTGTCAAGCCTAAGGACAGGCCGCCCGAACTCGACCTAGCTGTCAACATTGGTTTATTCATGAGTACTGAATCACGAAAACATCTATAAAATCCTAATAGGTTTTTCAAATAATCTGTAATCATCTTTGTATTCAAGAAATCTTCAAGTTGAATTGTTATGTTTTAACGCACTAGGACACCCTTCTCTCCTCCGGATGACTGTATGAAGTATAGGCCTACAAGTGACCAAGTGTCACCTGAATGCACACAACTGATTTATGCACCATACTACCTCAAATGGAAATGGAAAAAAAAAGAGAAAATTAAAAAGTTGGAGATAAAGAAAGGAAGAAACTTCAAATGCAAAGAAAGTGGAGGCAGCAATTAAAAAACTATGATTCGTAACAATACATCAGTTCAAAATATCTTCAAACACAGCCTATTTTTATCTGTTTCCTTTTCCAAAGTATGCATTAAATGCACACTTGAATGTAGACATCAGTTTTTCATTTCGAAAAGCAACACTACGTTTCAGCATTGAATTAGCAATACCATGGTATGCAAACCAATATACACGTACATTTGTGTGGACGAGCTTATAGAGCACATTCGCATGCGCCATTTTACCTGCAGTTTCTATTTTTAATTTTTTAAGCACACTTGAATACAAATATCTTCTATCTCAAAACCCAACAATATTACGTTTGAGGAGTACAGACTCAACAATGTGGTGGTATTCTAACCTTTGGAATTTATGTGATATTTTGTGGGGCACATTTTAGTTGTTTTTGGCTAATGTATACAATTAATGACCTCGTTGGTAACTGGTGACAGGATTTTGTGTCAGTTGTGATAAGACACAGTGGCGTCAACCTGTGCTGGGAATTGGGAGATGAAGGGTGACTGATAAAAAAAAGCCCGGCTGTGGACATTCGATTAAGCAATGTGATGGACACCACTTGACTCCAAGGAGTGCTGTTCATAATACGTGAATTTATGAATAATTTTATGGAGCACGAAATCTCGACAGTCTCTGGAGGCACATTCTCGGTGTCATTAATCGCTCTCTGTACCATCAGACTTAACTATGCGAAATGGACGGTAGAACTCCACTGAGAGCTCTAGAAACAGACGTCGTTAAACCTGAGCAACGGCAAGGATATACTTAATACAAAGATTTTCCAATCCGCTCGAGCTCGACAGCAAAATATCCTGCGCAAACACCACTGATTCCTTGTACCCCATGCATTCGAACTACATCGAAAGACGTCTGGAGACTGAGTTGGAATGGGAACCAGACTACTAAGGTTGCAGCCCGCCAATTCACGTCCCACTGAAAACAGTGTAAACTCAGCATTGTTCAGGGCCCCAAAACATGCATTCCGACATCCCCGAGGTTTCTGAAACACAAATTTAATTAGTATCCGGTACATAATCTTTAATTTTTTTGTGGGTTAACTTAAGACAGTTTTACGGAAGCCCAATCGTGCCAGGTTTTTAAAGTACATAAGTTAATTGCGAAATAATGCAATAGTTTTGCGAAATAACGCAATACTATTGCGATAAGCGCAATAGTTTTCAAAATACGCATACCGGAAGAAAGCGCCCTCTATTGTTAGCCGTCTAAAACCGAGAGCAGCAAGGCAACATCTGGGCCATTTTCCAATACTCAACTTTGGCTCTGTCTCAGGCTTTAACTGTTTTTAGTACTGGCTGACTTTGAAGATGTAAGCGCAGTAATCAGTCTAATAGTTCCACAGAACTTGAAATAAGATGCAAGAAAGCCAACAATTACAGTAATCCAATATAGTTTAAACGCTTCAGGCCCATAATCGGGGATTGAAGCCTGAGACGGAGACGAAGTCGAGTATTGGAAAACGGCCCTGATCTTGAACTGGTGAATCCTGCTAATAAGCACTTTTGTTCAATGCATCCATCGGTATCCATTTTGAAATCCAAACTCTTGTGTTTGCTCCATTAAAAAAAAAGAGCAACATCAACTATGGACGACATACGTCGACACGTCTTCTTCTAAATAGTCCATATTGCGACAAACGTCCGCGGTGATTCCGGATTTTCCAGGGGGGGGCATGAACTAAAGCAGTAATGGTAAAATGCCCTTACGGCGTGGGGTCTGGAGCCATTTTGTATTCTAGGAGCTTCATTAAATACGTTTATTTCATTAAATACGTTTATTTTTGGTGAAAAAAGGGGGCGTGCTCCCCCACGACCCCCTGGATCCATCCCTGCTTGTACTGTTAATGAGCTGGCCAGAAATTATCACATAAATTTGTAGACTGCATCCCCAAGGGCTAAGGAGTGGCGAGTACGTCTTTGCGTCTGCCTGTCTATGGTCTGTAGACCTAGAAGGAGAGCTCTGCACATGCTCGTTTCAAGACTCAACGGTGAAGGGACTGGAGGCAATTTTTAATTTCCCAACTTGATATATTTCTGGGACTTGATCGCGCAATTACTCTTATCCTTCCTGGAGGCGATATGTATTCCTATACCCACTGAAACATTCTCCCAGTCCTAACCTGCCGCATGGGTCTCCTATACCCCGGGGTGGCACCCACTGATCCCTATAGTCCAACATACACTGACACACCCATACCTGTTTTACATACAAAGTGTGGACATTCCTGTGTTCTCCTGTGGTTAAGGAAACTTGAGGAAAATGCTCCCGTTTCTTTAACTGGGATAACTCCTTTGAGCTGGATTTTAGATGGTGATTCTCTGGACTGTTCCTCTTCATTTTGCCACAATAACCTTGACCCCTGAAACTGTTTTTCAGAGAGGGCAAAACATTGTGTGGACGTGTGCGAGTCCACACAACGCCATCGCACTCTACATTACGTGGACTTCGTTTGTGCATTGGTCCACACTATGTATGCCACACCTGCACACCTGGATGAGCAGCCTCTGGTCCACCCACAGAATCCAGACACAGTTAACACCAAAACGTCTCAGTACACGAGCAAGGATCTCACTTCTCCACGCCTCAGGGAACACGCATAGTACTTAAGCAAGCACTCCAATAGGAACCCGGCAGTCTCCTACGCTGACGACGAACAGAGCGCGTTGTTCGAAACATAGAGTAGGCCTACCGGTTCTTTTCAGAAACACACATACTCACAAAAGAGATAATCCACACGGCGTCTCCGCTACCCTATATAGAGTGGCGCGCGACATTTCATTGCACATTTATTTCGCGCAGAATTCATTTTTTGATACATTCATATGCATAAAAATGCCATTTATATTTACATGTTTCGCTTGTATTTACATTTGTCGTTTTCTGTGTACATGTATTTGTCTCATTCATATTTGTCTGTTGTATTTACACTTTTCGTTTGAATTTATATTTATCGTAAGTGCTTACATTTTTTCTTTCATGCTTATTTAGCCACTCATAACAGGCGTGTGCGAACCAGCAAAGTGCAGTTCCCACCTAAGGAGCCTCAGTTCAGTGCTAGGAAAAGTGCGCCCTCTATTCCACTCGAGCCTCTTCCGTAATAATGGCAGCTTGTTTCTCAGGGGTGTGCGACGAGCTAAACACCACTACAGAACAGAGGTCAACGTTGGCCTTCTGCAACTGTCGAGCGTTGCAGCTACTGACCATCGAGATCACCTAGTAGCCTTGCTTGACCAGTTCCTTGCCTGATGTGGACAGAGCCGAGTTTTGACTTCCTCCCTGTGACAAGGTGGCGGATCTTTTTTCCCACAGATACCGCAGATTGATGGCACCAGAAAGCAAGACGTTATCAGCAGAAGAAGGCGAACATGGTTTGAAGACATCGTGCTCTCCTCGTGCAAACTGAGAAAACGTAGTAAATGATGTTGGATGGAAATTTTTAGACACACAGAAAGCAGCTCAGGGCCGTTTCAACTTAAGACAAAGATGATGGGTGAAACATGCATGAGAGGAGTTTGGCGTAAAAGACAAACAAAATCTGTCAAACAACTGATTTGTTTTTCATTACTTCATAACTTGACTTGTGATTGATTAAGGGGCCCAAGGTTGCGCAAAGAATATGGCTGGCTGGTACACATGTCAATGCTTCAGTCTATCTCTGGGGTTTTTATAGTTCCAATTTCCGAACGTCTAGTTCTCCACCTCTGACTGAACTGATGACTTCAACAAAGTCAACACACTCATCCAGCACTGTAAGACAGACGAAGTCTTCCGTCTACTTCAACAGGCTCACTCCAGTAGTCTAATTGGCCACCTCTGAAGACCACTGGCCTGTAACTACCGTAGTTAATTCCGTTTCCCAGTGGAACCAAGAGCTGGCTAACGTCAATTGGGTGAGCTGTCATTCCCTTGGTTTGCCTCAAGGGAGGCTACGAGGTTCTCACTTGTATCTAAGAACCTAAAAACTGAGATGTGAGCGAAGGTTAACTTCATAACAAGATGACCCAGGATAATTCGACGAATCAAACACCACAAGCGACTTTGTGTACGATGGGAAGAAGGAGAGGAATTATTTTACAGATGCTCGAGGGCGCTAATCACTTCCCCGAATGCGGCACCACCTGAAAAGGTAAGTGGCGACTGAGTGTGCGAATGTCTTAACCTCGAGTTCAAGGATGCAGAAAGTAACAGCGAGAGTGAGTCTTCCTCTGTCAGTGCCGATTACCCGTCACTGTGCTGCGTCTTTTACGTGTTCTGGTGACCCACCATGCCGTTAGTGACTTAAATTTGGGCTGGAAATTGGGGGGTGGGTGTGAGTGTGTTGCAATAGAAATGAAAAGTTTGAGTTTTTCCTAAACACCCAGAGAAAAGAAGAGCTGACGGTTTTGCTTTTCCTCTTTTGTCCCCTGAAATTTAGGTTTTAAAAACGGGCCTGGGCCCAGATGTAAACTACCAGTACAACGAAACGACAACGATAAATGGAAAAAAGAATGTATTTTTATCCAATGTCACTTTCGCAACACTGAAGAAATTTCATTGCGCAGCCATTTAATGTTGAAAACCTTAGACGTTGGATTTTATTTAGCACTGATCAAAATGTACTGCCCCAAAATCGTGCTTTGAAACGTTTTCATAAAATACTTGGATTTGTTTTTCGCTTTTTAAAAAATATAGTCTTTGAAGAAATCATGATAGGCCGTTTCAAAAATAATGATCTCCACTTTTGTTAAAACATCTCAATCAGTTACGATGCAGATGTCACAAGGAAGAAAAAATTTCACATTCTACCGAAACATTCAAGACAGTGTTTTTTTCAGACAGTTCTTTCGCTGTTTGCGAACATCATCCCTTCTTGATTTGTTTTACATTTGAAGACAGTTTGATATAAGAACAATGAAAAGCAGTAAGGAAAACGTTCATAGGATATAAAGAGCATGCAGCCAAAATATTAAACGTTTCTATTAAAAACATCACAGAAACAGCAGTCAGTAAGGAAGCAGAAATTGTAAATCAACAGGCAGAGAGCGATATTGCATTAGGCCTACGTTGAGTTGGTACACAAGATGACTGGAAACACGCGAACGGAGTCCGCTACAGAGTGAGGTTAGTGTCCAATGAAGCCACAGTCGAATTTCCCTAATAATGAACTTGGCAGTGTCTTTGCTGAAAATATTTCACGAGCAGAATCGACAACGATTCATTCAAACAAACTTACACGATATTATCTGCCTGAGAATAATCCTGGCTCATGGCTCATTCAATGCCTTACTCTCTCACATAATATGAAACTGTTTAGATGTCCAGAGTAAGCCTCCGTCTTTATGCACTGCAAAGTACATGTCGTACACAACATTATGCAGAAATAACATAATAATAAGGATGGGAAGTCAACAGTTTTTGAAACACAGCACTGTTCTTGTCTACATTGGTTCCCCAAGGCATGAAAGAAGACTCTGAAAAACGCTGTCGATGTCACCGAAGATGGAGGGCGTGGTATCTCCCGTGGCTTCGCTCTCAGTAACACTCCCGTTGTTCGGTAAACCCTCCCCAGGTGTTGTCAGGCCAGCGGTATCGCACGCCAGTAGCTGTTCTCTTGGGACCTCCTCCTGCCCCCTGCAAGAGCTTAGTGGAGGCGTCGCCATCGGCTCACACGCATCGGCAGTGTCCCAGGTCCTACTTGGGAATTTATCCCCGGCGTGATTCTCCTGCCGGCAACAGGGGCTCTGCTGCGTGAGTGACCCCATCCCACCTGGCGAAATGGTAGTGGTATCGGTGCGCCTCAAGATGTGCCGCTTCTTCGGCAGCATGGTCCGGCAGTGCTTGTCCTGGTGGTCCAGCTCCTGTTTCAGCTTGACCGTCATGTTGTTGATGAGAACACACCGACGGAGTGATGTCTCAGGGTCCTCCATGCGTCTCATCTTGCACAGGGACACCTCCAGCATTCTCTGCCTATCCTGGTACTCCGATGAGGCGCGCTCGTCGGTACCTTCTACCTCTCCGTTCTCCGGCTGAGCCGGACCCCCGGATCTGGCCTCGTAGCTGTCAAAGTCCAGTTTTCGTTTGACACCTGCAGTGAACCTACACGATTGATAAGTAGCCGTCGGCTCCTCGCAAGGTGTGGGTGAAGGGGACACTTCTGTTGGGTACATGTCCTGCGTTGTGTCGGCGCAATCTTTGACGGAGATCTCAAATGAACACTGCTCTGTAATCAGGAAAAAAAAACACAATTTGTATGTTGGTTATTTTATAAAAAGCCGTGTGTGTTAAAATATGCTCCTTGATCACCAGTGAAGGATGTTTGTTTCTAGTGGTGGTAAGTTACGGGATCACAACAAATTGATGATTGTGAGGTTACTAAGGCCAGGAATCCTATCAGGCTGTGAGGATGGGGTTGTTTGAATTCTTATCAGTCTGCACGTTTTTGTTTTCTAAATTTCAGAAACTTAAAGCTCCCTTATGTGGGGGAAGTTAATAGTTATGATGAAAATAACTATCCTAATAATGTTTCTCTAGAGATCTAAACCTTCTATTTTACATGTAACAATTTTACAAGAAATCAACCTTTTAATCGCCGGTATGGCAAACTACAGGCTTTTTGGAGGGTGGGTGGTTTTTGCTTTTATAACCCTAACTGCCAAGTACTGTAATTTCGGCTTTATTTTTCATTCACGTAAGGGAATGGGGTTAATATAAATAGGAAATTTAGTAAAGAGTGCCTATTTGGTTGGATTTATTTACTACTGATTTGCCTCGTTGAAGCTTTTTTCTGATAAACGTCCGGTCTAATACGTGGAGCGCTTTCTGTGCGTGGATCGTTCAATCGTACAGGCAAGAAATACATTGCGCCCACGCACAGCGAGGGATATTTTTAGCAGACGTTTCCCTATAAATATTTTACAGTCCATGCTTTCTTGGGCGACCAACGTAAGAGTGAAATATTTATAGGCCTTTGTGCCAACAGTGCTGCACTTCGCAAGGCACCATGATCGCAGTGAACTACAGCAAGTCTGAAATTCGACGTCATTATCCGAAAAAGGCAGGTTCCGCGGCCTCATGAATGGCAAGAGGTAGCTCAGATCTGAACATCCTAACTGATAACTGCGTCATGTGATTAATCAAGCGTCAGAGTGTATGAATTATGAATGGCTGTTATTCCGCGATGACAGTGATCGCGTCCATAGCTTGCCTGTTTTTTTTTTAAATCGTTTACCTGCCAGTTCGAGGATGGTGCGTATATCGTCGGCATCGGCTACGTCATCACCGACGTCATGCTCGTCGTCCACGAAGGACAGAGAAAAGTTGCCATGGTAACAGAGACCGAGGGACTGGCTGGCTGCTTGGGTGAGCGGGTGTGGGTCGGAGGGAGGTCGCCATGGGGGCGGTGGGGCTGTTCTATCGGGCACGGCGACCGTCATGCCCGGGCCGGCTGCACAAGGGCTGAGTGCCCGGGACGACGGTCTAACGTCCCCCGGACGTCCCCCTAACACCTGTCGGTTAGAAACCAGAAAGCATAGAAGCTGTAAGGCAGGCTAAGATTCTAAAACTGATTCAACAGTAATGTCTAATTAAAATGCGTTTCTCTAACCAGCGCATGCAACGTGTTGATCTTTTTCTAAATAAATTCATTTCGCAGCGGCCTACCCATTATAAAGCAAAAACAATGTGTTCTTGGTTACGTGTATGATTATCTCTTCGGCATGACGTAGAATCTATTAATTTGGAACACAGATAGCCCAATTCTACTTGTAATGCAGATGTATAGTAAATAATTACGTTTTGAACGTAAACATGTTGACGTAGATCATATATTAATTTCATACATTCAAAATGAAATCAAATATAGCAATGTAACTTTGTCAATGATTGTGTATGGAGTGATCGGTGTTAATGTAGTAATTACACCCAACTTCGTTCTGGTGTTGACCTTCACCGAAGTAACTTAATAAACACTCTACACTCAAGCTTGCTTCAGTGGGACTTGAACACGCTACTCGGTGTAAATTCTTGATCAACACTCAATATAATGACAGGTGACATTCGGATAACAGAGAATGCATTAATGAGTAAAATGGTTATACATAATCTGGGCCAACACGCAACTAATGTCAATGTATCATTTGTTTTACTCATCACGTTATGCCTTCAATCATGTTGTGACAACTCAGATTACAAGAATTGGAGTGAAGCCTTTATCCTTGTTAATATAAAAAGTAGCGATTAACTGAATCACCAAAAGCTGGTCCTACCTTACCTCGGCACGCCGTCCGTTCACCGTATAATTTTGTGAGATGACTCTTCTTATCCAGGCCAGGCAGCCAATTTTGAAATCAGCCCAGAGACTATACTCCTGGTGAGGATTTAACTCAGAGAAATCTGCATCCAGCTATGCAACTGGACTGGCTTGGGCAAAACACCTCACAAAATAGACATGGAGAATTGCTCCTCGAACTTCAGGGAGTCGGAGAAGATTTGGCAGCGCCAGTGAAATCAGTATACAAAAGGAGAGCTCCACGCAGACGAGCGGAGCCCGGCCGCAGCTGTTGTGTGGTCCGGCAGATCCGTTGTTGATGTAGTCACAGCCGAGCGAGGAGCACGTGTATTATATCGGTGACGGATACAAAGACCCGCGCCAGGTTGCTGCATCACGATCTCCGAGAACTCGTCACCGCTGTTTTGCAGCCCCCGTCAGGAGACGAGTGAAAACAGTAAGAGAGCAACTGCGCATAATGAGCGAGCGGCACACGTCAACTATGAATGGGCAAGTTCGCTGCGCTGTTCCGGCGACTTCCTGTCCTCCCTACGGCCACGCAGTCACCGGGACTGCATCACGGATTCGCTATTCAAGTCCCTCTGCAGCGCAAGACTAGGGGGGAAAGGGAGAGTAATTACGAATCGGCCTTGCATCAAATTATGACGAGACTATGAAAGAAGGCATATTATGACGAGAAAAACGCGTATTATTGAGACCATCCTGGCTTGATTTCTATGCCCGGGGCTGGAGCATGACGTAGGCACTTGAGCATAATAAGTTACGTATAATTTCTCTCTTGGCGTACTATTTGTGTAGTCTCTTCATAGAACCAAGCTAAGGATGATGCTACGGAAAGTTGTTTGTGAAAAAATACTGCTTACTTTTGTGAAATAAGATAAGTGAATTTTCGAGAAAAACAAACATCAAAATATCGCAGAATCACAAAAACATCTGCGTGGAAAAGCTTTTGATTTTTTTCTCCGTACTTCAGATCTGACGATTGATCTGTTGAAAAGGAAAAAAAATGCTGGAAAATAACAGATCAGTGCAAAGTAAACAACCGAGAACTTCATCGACAAGAGTAGAAGTTGGCATCAGCAAAGGTTCTTAAGGAGATTGTATTGTTTTTATTTAGTGTCACTTAACCGATAAACTATGTCCCCAAAAGAACAAAAGGGCCATCTACAATTTCGTCCCGTACCGACTCCATCTCTGGGATTTCCAACGGTCTTTATACAGCGGGGAACAGGGCAAATTGCCGGGGCTTTTTTCAGTAATAAAAAACGCCAGCATTTCAAAAACGGTACTAACACAATTTTTTTGGGGGGGGGGGTAATTGTGGACCTTTTTACCGATGGGAAAAAGGGATAGCCATTTTCAGAAAATTTGGGTATTTTGACAACTTAAAACACTTAGAAACCATTCTTACGTGCGATTCCCCAACCGAACTGCTCAGTAATCAAAATCTGGAAAGTGGTAAGCCGTGCATAGATATCGGTGACTTTTTCAGCAAAACTAAAGCAATTAGAATAAAAGTCGATTCCTCGATTTTCTTTTGTTTGTCCTGCAATTCTACAATAACTACCACAACACGCTTTATAGCAGAATACCCGTCGGCCTAGTATACGAGCGAGTCGAAACAAGACTATACAGTGAATTGAAACTTCACAACGAAATCGAATACCAAGCAATGTTTTTGTCCATGTTGGTGAGAATCCTCCCTTGCTAGTCTGGATTGTGTTCCAGCATTGTTCTTCAAATCTCAGGCCTAAAGAAAAAGACGGCCTCAAATTAAGGTGGAGGGATTATCCATTTCAAATGAAAAAAAAAACACCTCAAGATAAATACATACAACTGAAAATAAAATTCCGGGCAAAGAATGAATAGGTTCCGCATGCGCAGTGGCGGATCAAACATTAAGGGTGGGTGCAACAAACATTTACAAAAAAGGGGCGTCCGAAGACGGATGTGAAACTTGAACACACGAGCGGGAAATTATTTATATCCAGATATAATTAAGTTATTCAATAACCAATCAACCACCACAGAAGTATGTACCAAGGAAAAAAGACAGAAACAAGCGGGGTGGGGTGGGGGAGGAGAGTGGCGGCTGCGCCTCCCTCTAGATACGTGATCAGGGTCACACCTCGAAAAGAAATGAAGTCTGGTTGCGACCGTGAAACAAAGACCCAATTCCATGGTAGGGACGGATCCCGTGCGGTGCCTTAACCCTAACACTCCTCAATCCTTCACCAGTTGGAGGACTGAGGAGTGTTAGGGTTAATAGTGGGTGCATTGACAATAGCGTCAAACAGTTTGAGTCCACTGACTGGCCAGACCTCTTCAAACGTACACTGCATGCAGCAGGGATCTTGCAATAGTATCGGCATAGCGTCTGCACTTATTCACGTATTCATATATGCAAAATCCAACAGATTAAATCACAGTGTAAATATTACATACGAAATACTACAGACACCACTCTTTGTCAATACAGCAGTTGAAGACCAGGTATTGATATCTACCTCGGCAAACAATAACAAGCAACAAAATAGTGTTCTGAAAGAGCTTGCAAGCGAATAATTCGACAAATGACCCGCTGAAAAGGGACTTCAACCATAGAGCAAAGTGCTTTGCTCTATGATTCAACAAGAGCAAATAAAAAGCAAAGCTGAACGCTCGGGCGCTATACGAGTTTACTGTCGGTGGCAAATGGTGGTTTTGGTTACGAGTGACGTTGTTGCCGCCTTGTCCCCACGCAGTTAAGTCACTTATAACCAACCAACAGCCCAGCAAAACGACGACGCAACCACCACGCAAACCAACCCCAATAAAATGAAATGTATAAAATCTTACCAACCCTACCATAAAGTGCACAAACGCCTACGCCGTCATAACAGATCGTGGTCAACTTGTTTATTTCGAAGTCTGTAATTCGACACGTAACCACGTGGATAAATCTCTCTTTATTATAAAAGAACTTTGTGGTTCACAACCCTAAAAATCAGTAAATGAGATTTGTACAACCTGACGCTATTACTGTTAACAGTTAACTCTGATTTTGACGACCACTATTACACACTGCATAATGCTTTACCCAACCCTCTGTCACAGTACACAAACAAGATGTTTTAAATGGTCAAGCTTCATCTGAACCGGGTTATAATTTCTGAATATTTATACTGATTTTTGTTTAGTACTGTCAAGACTTTGCGTGTAAAGGGGTCATTTTTACAGTCATATTTACACAGAATTTGGAAAAAATACCAAAAAACAAAAACCAGAAGGGCGCCTGAGAGTTGAACTGCAAATGCACACATAAGAATCCCCATTTCTTTTGGAAATTGAAAAAAGTGGGAAATTCTACGAAACTGAATCGAAATCGTGTAGCAAATCTGTTCATTCCTTCCAAGAGATTTCAGACAAATATTTACACTTTACATCGAAGCCGTGAACCTTGAATGATGACATTTAATTAATCCTCAAATTTGTCTTGTCAACAAGCTGACTTATAAAGGTGGCTTGCTGGAAGGTCCTACCTACAGAAAAGACGGTAGTTGAACTGTTTGTGTCAATGACAAACTATACGTGTAAAATGATGCTTACCGTGGCACAGGCTCTAATCCACATGAAAATAAATACAAATTACTTTCAGTCACAATATTTTGCAATTAACCATGTATTTCTGACAGTCACCACGAAGGGAATTATACCATTTTGACTTACCACATAAGTAAATAGTGGAAACAAGAACCAAAATCAGTAGTGTAAATACATGTATTCACCTTGGATGTTTCAACAAGCAGTCCAATATGAACAAGCTTAAAGAACTACACTGAATGAGGGGTCAAATATTAATCACGACCGTCATAAATGTCAACCACCTATGTGGAGTTGAGAAACTGACACGTAAGCAGTATGAATGCCAAACACCCACGGAGATTACAAATGGTGAGCAGTCGAATGTGATAAACAGTGTGTGGTGTAAATATCAATTTACAATCAGCATTTAACTAGGTCAGCAAGCCAGCATCAGGAAAAGTTACGCGTTAACCTTCCACGAGGATAACACTGGGTGAGGTAACCGGCAAGTCTCAACCTCACGAGGGTAGCATTTGGAGAGCAGTCCAGGAAAACTGCAAGTGAGGTGAATGTCGGCCTGACGAGGATTGGAATCAGTGACCAGTTTAACATAATTCTTTACAGGATCTTGTGTGAATATCAAATCAAACAGGATTTTATCTAGCTTAGCTGTCCAATATAATGACAGGCAGAAATACATATTGACCTCTCATGAGGATCCAATTGTGTAAGCAGTCCATTATGACAACAGGTGTGAATATGTCCTTGCTCTACGGTAAAACTCACCTGAGGATTACATAAGGTGAGTGGTCCGATATAACAGACCCAATGATGCTACACTTCTTTTATGTGTGTTCTTTCCTATGGTACTCATCACTGGGCTGTAGGCCCCCGCTGGCTCAACAGGAAAGTGCACACGTAGACAAAGTGTGACATCCATTAACACATGTACTGCCCCTTGGCAGTAATCAGAGTGACTTCCAATCTCCAATTCAGATTACAGTTGGGTAAGCAGTGCAGCCTACTAATTCTGGTGTGCTCTGAGCACTCTTTTTTTAGAGGGGATTAGAGTCTCCCTTGTTACTGATCACTGGTGCACCCAGGGGTATGGGGGGGGCATGGTCTGCCTCCCGATGGAGCTAAATGATAGTTTTGTTTTTGAAAAATAAGGAGAAAAAAACAGTGATTTAGGGGAGTCGTTTTGGGCTTCCAAAAGCATGTGAAAAGCCCCCAAATTTAGCCCCACCCCTACGAAAAGACATTAAAGTTTACACAAAGTAATGTCACAATATTTACCCTCCCCTCAATAATGCTGGTCCTGGATATGCCCTTGTCACTGACAAGAATGGAAATCTGTGTCTTGTGGCACAGCAATCCAGGGATCAACGGTGATCAAAGAAGAATGGAACAAGAGACCTTAGAGGAAAAATGAACAAACAAAACAAAAGCAACAGTGGAAAAAAAACCCTAAAGATCTCAACTTCAATACGCCCATGATCGGGGGCCAATTTCAACAAAGGTTACCAGCTCAAACTCTATCTGACTGTCATGCTAACCAGAAAGCAGCTAAATACGATCCCAAAACAATATATATCACATGGCATTTTGCCTAGTTACCTGATTTATCAAGCAAGGTTTTTTCCCGCTTAAGCAAATTTTGTGCTTAAGCAGCTCTATGAAATTGGCCCCAGCTGGTTGCAGAGGAAACAAGAGCATGTCACTGAAGACAGTTTATAAAGACACTTGTGACTGGCTCAGTATTTACACTGCATGCCTGAAAGCTTATTCAATTATTCCACAATACTCTATGCATCAAAGGATTGAGGAGCAATACAGAACTATGCAGGATCCTTACTGTAAACAAAAAACAAATGAATGAAAAAAAAATGAAACTATAGGACATTGTGTTGTGAATAAAGCCAGGACAGGAAATTAATTATCAACTAGAACTACTTTCAGTGTTCATTGCCAATCATAGACGATCAGGTCTTTAAGACTCTGCTCTTTAAGATTTCTCCTTAGTAGATGCATATGATAATTACCAAGGACGTTTCAAAGCCAAGCTTTCCAAGAATACCGGTAACTGGTCTTAAGTGGTTAGTATCCAAATGGGGGCTGCTTGAGAGTTGAATTGCAAATCAATCTGTCAACCGCACAGAAAGGTATTACACAATGGAAGTATGCTGAGTTTGATAACCCTGTTGTGTGCTTCTGAATATCGATTCTAACCACAACATGCGTGTATATGATTTGTGGTTGATCTCAGTCAAGAATGTTGAAGATATTCTGTAGATTCAGTTCTGCTACATCTGTCACAAGTTAACCAAATACGGCAACCTTAACCCTGTCAATGCTTCCAACATTTCGACATTCTAGGAAAGCTAGACTTTTTGTATCTGGCAGCATCAATCTCTTTCATGTAAACTCGACTGCCAACTAAGCAATTCATGTACATCTACTGATAAATGTTGCTCACCTCAGAGATGAAGGAAATAAAATTTTTAAAAAATTAGCTCCATACATATTGCCAAACAGCTGGAAGATTTATAGAAAATCAACATGATTCTTCAGTTGTAAAGGGCTATGGGATTATAAACATCCGACCTTAGGGGAATAAAATGGCACTCTACTAAAAACTGTTAAAATGTAGTGAAACTCCAAGAATTTTCCAGCCTTTTTGGGTTACCTTCCAAATCTGTTCCACCCAAGGTTCATTCTAAGAATGTATGGAGACAGACACTTTGTTGGCCTTTTAGTTTCAATGAAATCGGACATGGTGTGGGTTCACAAAATAAATACAAATCGTCATTTCAGTTCCTGGCATTAAGTTGGAATGAGTTCATCATTGTGTTTTGTTTCTACCAAGACGTGGTGTCGTGTGACCTTCTACCATACTGAACCATCAATGAACAGCTGGTGCTTGGGGTAAAACCGTGACAGCTGAGTTTTATGCCATTTTTTACCAACACCAGCTGGTTTGTCTTTCTAGCCACATTGTACGTTGATCTTATCTGGTTTCATTTTCCACACAGTGGTCAACATGAATGGACAATGACTGGTACATGATTTATCTCACACCGCAGCACTTGGGGGGGGGTGTGGTTGGCGTAGTGATACTTTCCTTACGTTCCACCTCGGCAACCCGGGTTCAAATCCCACCCAGGTTGACATGTGGATTGGGTTCTCAGTTCCTACCTGATACCCTGGGTTTTCAACAAAATATTAGTTGGGGGGGATTTCCACCCACCCCCAAAACAAAACATTGCTTCATTGTATTTACTTGTCTTTTCTTAACCAAGGGCACCTTGCGAGACCAGTTAATAACTGATAGGCCTTTACCTATACACAATAGAAAAATTGAAACCACTTTCTAGCTGTGGCAGTGCCTCCTGACCCTCTCTGCCCAGGTCTAAATGCTTTGGGCACCCATCCGTGATTGGTTCAATAACGGGCATCTTTCTCAACTTGGGCTTGCTGTCACTCTGAAGCTGGACGTTACCAAGGTCCGTTCCAACCTTATTGCCTGAGCCCTCAGTGGGTTAGGCTTCTGGAATGTGCTAACCACAGCCTGCTATGACTCATCAGCAGGTCCTCCTTACAGCAGACCACTGCAGATAAGGCCTTACCATAACACCTCACTGTCCAGGTCCAACAACCAGCCCGTTCTGGAATGGGCAGGCATCCAAAGCTGGTCTCCTTCCCACTCCGTTTCTTGCTTTCCCTAACAGTGCCACCTGGGCATTCCTCAAACCTCGGCACCCAGGTCCAAGACAGCCGCCTCGAGGATTGGCACATATCTAGCGCCCACCTGCACCAGGAGTATGGTTTTGTCGATGTGCGACCTGCGGGACTGGTCTCGATGGCATGGCACCCAGGTGTGGACCACGGTCCCCTCCATGCCCTCCTCTGGGTTCCAGCCCTTCCAGGCATTCCGGCCGCCCGCTGACCGCATGCTCTCCTCCGGCCACATGACAAACTTGCTGGTGTGCAGCTTTTCGTACACCATGCTGGGATCCATGATCTAAAAAATGAAGTAAGAGTCAAAGGAGTGTCCATCGATAAAGTTCCAAATGGGTTCAAGTAGCACGTGCCAGCGGGTCCATTATGTGATCTGTGGGTTTTGCGCGGTGGTCATAGCAGTGGGAGGAACAAATCTGTTCTGCGAGTGCGAGGGACTCTGAAGAGGACCAGTGAGCTTCACGTTTTGGAAAGTATGTGAGACAGTCAGGAGACTCTCAAGAGACCTCACTCACTCACAGTAGAAATTACTACAAACCTTCCTCACACAGTGTCACCGAAGCCAACATTTTGGCCTAAAATAGTTAAGTACAATGGCCATTTTCCAGGAAAAGGAATTACTGAAAATGCAATAGGTTTTCAAATGTAAGGTGATTTAGAATTTTTTTTTCTGAATCTGTGGTTTACGGAGGGGACGAGCCTTCCCCCACCCCCTAGGCTACTGGGTCCAATTTCATAGAGCTCTTGGTTCAGAAATGTACTCAGTGCAATAGAATCCCATTATGGCGCTCCCTGATATAACGCTCTTACCGATGTAATGCTCTATTTTCATATCCCCCACTGCACGCCCATTCACTGTGTACATTTTTATCTGGTTATAGCACTCCCTTTTACAACGCTTTTTGGGATATAGCGCCCCCCGATTTTCGGCCCGAGAACCATATAAAGCATGTGAAATGATTCTGGTTACAGCGCTCTTTACCTCGGAAAGTCATATTCTTTGAAAATCAACGCATATGAAACCGCACCGCAAGGCCCCTGCGACTGGCCATCCTGTGGGACACTAGTAGTATGGTGATCACACAGAGTGCAGACACACACACTGGGTTGTCTATGCAGCACATACAAGCACATGCTCACCATGGTAAGGACATGGTTAAGCAAACTTAATTTGCATTGTTGTGATTATTTTCCCACTTTTTATTTATTCTGTGGTGTAGTTTGGCACACAAATAACCAACAATGAGATACTACATGTATGTGTAAATATTTTGTTAGCTAAAGATTTCTTTCAACCGCTAAATAAAATCAGCCACATAAATTGTACGTGTATCTTCGTGTTAGCAAATCTCGTCTTTTCAACAATTGTATTCGGCGTCTGTTTCCACTTGGGTTTTTCTGGTGACATATCACTTTCCGTACTCACATGGTTATTGGAAAAAGTCAGTGATTGGACTGTCCATGAATGGGTACGCAGTAGCATTCAGGATGTTGTGGTGGGTGTGCATGCAGTGCCTGTGCCGTGCGGCAATGCAGCATGCACAAGGTCCTGTGGTGGTTTTTGAAGAGATTTGGTGGCGTTTTTTTGATCGGCGACACCATGAGGCGAATTTCTCTTTTAAACATCTGGCCCTCTCTGCAACCATGATTCCACAGTTTATCTATACCCCAGGGAAGGCGTCCTTATCTACTATCAATTACGCCATCCATCAACACACTGTGGGTGGCCAGTCCGACCGTCTGCCGGATCTACTTTTCCACAACCGCCACACGCCACCAACGTGTGAACTGTCTTATTGCATCCATACACACAGTTGAACATTGTGCATGGTGAGCGTGCACTGTGGTTGGGCTTACATTTACTGCACAGCAATGCACAGTAAATTGAGTACGTGTACAGGGTACTGGTCCGAAAGCGATATATTTTTATGTATCTTGCTGGGGAAACTCAACTAGAAAAATTTGATAATTGTGACTTTAATTACAGAATTATTTTAAAGGAAGTTTTCATTGAGTTTGAAGTGTAGTGTCCTCCCATAGACAAGTAAATATTGATTGAATGGAATGATTTGAAAACAAAAGACACAAGCAAGCTGAGGCAACCTAATGGAGGCCTTTTATATAAGTAGGTGCACTGATTTTAAAGAACAAATTTCGAGGAGGGCAGAGAGAGAATTCCGACAACGAAGGTCAGTGCATACTTTGATCTGCCCTCCCAATAAGGGGGCAGAATTCCGACAACGAAGTTTAGTGCATACTTTGATCTGCCCTCCCAATAAGGGGGCAGAATTCCGACAACGAAGTTTAGTGCATACTTTGATCTGCCCTCCCAATAAGGGGGCAGAATTCCGACAACGAAGGTCAGTGCATACTTTGATCTGCCCTCCCAATAAGGGGGCAGAATTCCGACAACGAAGTTTAGTGCATACTTTGATCTGCCCTCCCAATAAGGGGGCAGAATTCCGACAACGAAGGTCAGTGCATACTTTGATCTGCCCTCCCAATAAGGGGGCAGAATTCCGACAACGAAGTTTAGTGCATACTTTGATCTGCCCTCTCAATAAGGGGGAAGAATTTGAACAACGAACTTTAATGCGTACAATGATCCGCCCTCCTGATAAGGGGGAGGAATTCCGAAAATGGAGTGCTCACACTAGTTTTGAGCATAGTTTGAAACTGGACGTGTGTTGAGAACACTACAGGCAAAGCCCACTTGCCACCCGGTCAAGCAAAGGTCAAAACCCTCTCTGCGGTTTTGTGCCAAGCTTGTAAGAAAATCTCCTGAGAGCAATAACAGTTGATGATAGGAGATCCTCGGAATCCTGGTTGGACCTGCCAGAAAACCCGAGTTCAGACTGCTGAACTTGGGTTTTCTGTTAAATGACAATTCATGGCACGAAAAATATCAAGATAACCGGATACAAGGCATATACTCCGAAAATTACGGTAATACATCTGCCAATACATGTAAACGAAATTCACATGCATGACGTACATGTAGGTACATGTATCTATACTTATACATAGAAGTACTTGTGCACATGTGCAGTGTCCGTTACGCATCCATCCAGTCGGTTATAGCGCTGTACGCTCATAACGCCCAATTCTGTTAGGTCCCCTTGAGAGTGCTATAACGGGAATCTACTCTACAAAATGTCTGCTTAGCAAAAGCAGGTAACCAGCTGAAATTCCACACACTGAATAATTTTTGAGACTGGTTCTCCATTGACTTACTTACCCTGACTCTGTGTGCCAGGTAGGGATCCTTGGGGTAAGCAGAGTCACCAAACAGGCTGGCCAGGGGGATGCGGCCCACTCCCGGCTTGCCCACCGAACCCGTGCTGGAGCCCAGGCTGTGCCGATTGTGACCGGGTGTCTGCAGCTGTTGAGAGGAGGTGTCTGACTGCCCCGTAGAGCCCTGCTGGGGCTGGGATGTGTTGTCGCCTACAGTGGAAGCAGAAGACACCAATATTTCAAGGAGTGACTTTTGTTTAGGGATGGAAAATGAAATCCTCTAAACAAGACCTTGCTGTTATTTCTGAGAGGCGCTTGGAAACAACTGAATCACTGCAGTATTCTATCTAAGGTATTGGCTGTTCAAAGCAGGACTAGACACTGTGCTCGGAGGCAAGAGACTGGATGGACCAACAGTTCACCCACAGGAACTCTGGTCTACACTGACGCATTGTTTCCTTTCAGAGGAATCTTATCCATTAAAACTGTCGAATTTCAAATACAATTTGTAAGTTTGGAGTCCATGTTTCCTAACATGAACCGGGAAGGTGGAAACTAGACAAACGACTGAATGATAATGTACATGTACTGATGGGCATGTTGATAAACTGATATCAAACTGCTAGAACCGGTACCTTGTGAGTTGAGGGTGTGACTTGTGTTGGCTCCTCCCCCTGTGACCGTCTCAGTATCATCTTTGTCCCCGCCGTCTGGCCCACCTCCCCCACTGCTGCAGCCAGTCACGCACCGCATACGAATCCTGTGGCAGCAATGGAGGGGAGGACATAATATTCACTGAACTCCATTCTACCCGGTCTTCTTATCAACGCCCTCAGCTCTCACAGCTTCATTCCATGAACATCCTCATGGCGGATTAATCTGAGGAGAAACTGCCACGGCACTTTGCATGGGTACAGCACTCATGGCCCCGTTCAAAGGTTGCTGCGTGCATGCACGTGGCAACTCACGATACCCAATTGGTTGAAGCGGCACGTACGGTAATACATGCGTATCACCCGTCCAGGCGCACCGTGCCTTCACAGTAATGGTACCTAATTCTGGTAGCTGAATTACACCATGCTGGGGCGCATCTTGACTAGTTTGAGTGTGCATACCGACCCCGAGTTCAAGCGCACCCTCACTGGCAATGGAAAGTCAGGCTGATGGGAAGTATATCAACTGAGATCGTGCAGGGGCCAGGCACACTTGTGAGGATCGTACAGTCCATCATTGGCTGCATGTGCTCAGGATTCCCCATGCTAAATGCACCTGAACCCACCCGCGACCTCTCACCAAATGGTTGTCCTTTCTATGTAAAAACATGCCCTCTCTTGTTCCTGCTAGCAGCGGATAGTGGCATTTAAACCCATGAGTACTCACACAGACGTCCAAGTCATTCAATCTTCAAACAGTTTCTAAAATTGGCTGATCTAAAACATTCTAGTCCACAGTGCGTGCACTAGACTAGTCAGCACTAGTGTAGACTTGTTTACCTTCAGCTTCGTATACACAATGTCGTCCTAGAACTTCTGAAAAATGGATTTGCAAGCTCGCTAGAATGGAATATAAATCCAAGACCTCCTGGTCACTAGTGCAGATGTCTTGACCACTCATACAAACTCTCAATGCACAAGCACACTCCAGATCAGAGTGAGCACATCATGTGCCATACTCTCGCTACTCATGCACATGGAGAAAAACTCATTGTAAATAATACTACGGAAAAAATTCATCAAGAAGGGGTTGACTCAAAAACTGAGAAATGAGGAAAGTTTAAAGAGGTAGAGTTCAGTGAAACAATATTACAGCACAGTCTTTGAGGACTTTACAAATTGCCTTGTTATGATAGTTACCTTGTATTATAAAACTTAGACTGGTTCTCATCCCGTACGTAGTCTTCGAACATAGGGACTGGTAGCGGGTATTGATTCCGGCGGAATCCTGCCGGTTTTTTGTTAATGAGGAAATTAACATTTAACAATTCCCACAATGCAACACTCTCACATGACAAAGTTTTCAATGACTTTCTAGAATGGATTAATACTCTCTCTGCCGTGTCATTTTCACATGGAACACACCTTTCAGACATATTTACCTGCTTTTTAACGGTAACCGCTTCCAAAACTACGGGGAGGAAAAAGAACTTTTCTGAGGTTTTCCTAAGAACCATGTGTTTGACTGTCAAGCACACGAAAGGTTCTACGTAAACATCATCTCAGTTAATAGAAAAAGCAACTGTGCATGCACAGCGCTAAACCAACCAAGAAGCCCAGAAGCCAGCTAGTTAACAGTCCCTATATGATAGGGATGGAGACTAGTCCATATAAAACCGTCCTTGTATAATATCAATGTTTCACTGCATTAATAAGGCTCTTCTTATCTATGTTGGACTGTATCAATTCTTACCTCCTCCAGCAGTTGATGACTGTGGCTCTGATGTTGCCAAAGCTGAGCGGGCCCCCGATGATGCTGGCCAGCTGCTCGCTGCTGTCAGCGTAGGAGGTGGTCAGCGGCGAGACGTAGATGGGGTAGCCGATGGGCTGGTCGCAGGAGGAGTTGATCATGTTGCGCAGAGCCTGCTTGGCGTTCTGGATACTGCCACGCTCCGGGTTGCGGTTGCGCAGGAAGACCAGCTCTTGCTGTTGCCCTGCCCACAGCCCCCGCACGCACTCCTGGTTCACCTGACAGGTTCAGAGGTCAAGGATGGCATACGCAAGGACATGTCAAGCTATGAGTAGGCCCTTTGGCCGTTTAAATTTTAAAAAAAAAATGTTTCTAATTTTCATTCTTATCAAATGTCTGTTGAAGTTCAGGATTTTTATCACGTTAATTTGTTTTATCTATTTCCTTTTCATGAGGTGGGATTTTTTTCGGTGTAACTGCTTTTGCATCTGTGTTTTTCTATTTATATTTTTACTGTTAGTACTTCATTTCTTATTATGGTCTTTGTATTTGTACACTGTATATGGTCTGTACAAGGACCAATAACCTGTGTTTTATGTACAATCTTTATACCATTTTAAAATAAAAAATTTTTAACTAAAAGTAACCAGTGCATTTATGGGAAAAAATGCCTGAAGCCATTAGCTTGAGGCTTTCATACGCATGAGTGCTATTTTTAGCCATATTCAAATCAGCTAGACACATCCTAACCGGGTAATCGGCTGAGTAAGCAATAACCTAAAGCCCCTCTCTTGCAGTGTGGACACTTGTGAATTGGGCACGTTATATCCTCCTTTTTTAACATTCGTTTGTTGAAAAAAAACAAAAAAACAAGAGAGATTTGTAGTGTTAGTGTCCATGTACTGAATCTTTCCTAAATTCGACCTGAGGTGATACAGGGGTTTTTGATTTCGCTCACTTGCTGATGGACACCGACCTCACCTTAATAACCCTGAAGCTGAGATATTTCTTGTTCAGCATGATGATCTTGTAGTCGTCAGATCCTTCATCCAATACATGCCTGAGGGAGAAACAAAGACGGTGGTTTCAATTGGGACAAAACAGAAATTTGATTATCAAAACAAACAGACTTGCATGCACATTTACTGAAGTAGTTA